TTGAGGGCAAGATGAAAGGTGGTTTGCCTGTGGAGCGCCTTCAGTTTTTTAACTGTTGTAGTTGAGAGATTAGGAACTGAACATTGGAATATGGGCCACTCGGGTCCTGAAGCTTCTAGGGAGGAACAAAGAGTAGTGGAGGACTTGGAAAGGTGCAGTCCTTGAACCCAGCCACAACACATCTGTGGTACTGAAAGGATCTTACACTGTTTGATCCAAAACTGAGAAGCAGAACCAATCTGTGAGATAGATGCGTGCATCATTTACTGACTACCATGTTTACATCCTCAAAACCTAAACTGAGGAGACAATTTCAAGGCCAGATAATATATATAATAGTATAATTTCTTGGTTTTATTAGCTGTTGGAAAACATGACTGAAGTTGTTAGGAAAGGGATACAGGAAGCACAACTTCAGCTTCAGAAAGCAAATGAAGAACGACTTCTGGAAGAGGTAAGGCTACAAACATTCATTATCTAGGTAACTTGAAAGAACGTGTCACAACACGGGTAGCGTGCTCACCAGCCAGTGTTTGATTGTGTACTTTGCAGGGACTGCTACGACAAATACCTGTAGTAGGCTCTGTGCTGAACTGGTTCTCTCCATTCCAAGCCTCGCCAAAGGGACGAACGTTTAATTTAACAGCAGGTAGGACTTGGAGCATCTGCAGCTGTATTCCTCTGTCGTTAGAACCGTTTCCAATTTTATACTAAAATGGCAACGCGTTTCCTTGTGCTGATTTGATCGTAACATAACCCGCCCTCGGGATGTAAAAGAACATGCTCTTCCCTGTGTCTGTAAGCCCAAGAAGACTATCTTCTATCCTCACTTGTACAGTTTACATTTTGTTCTTGCTTGAGTCACATTAAAAAAGCTGTATTAGACACTGGCATTTATTAATTGAGGAATCATTTCTTGACTTTTGGTTACATATGCTGTAAAAGCTCAGTGTTCATACTGTGTTTATAAATACGTAAGCTAGCCGGGTAACTCAGGTCTTAAAACGTTGCTTCTCCATGTGTGTACTCGTGTATCCTCTTGAGTGTGCTTGCCAAATGGCACTCGGCTGTTCCGGTGTGCGACGGGCGCTTGGTGTCTCTGAAATCCCGGGTTGAGATGTGACCTGGCTCCCGCCACACGGATGAAGTTCTGGTTTGCATGGTAAATAGTGCAATGGTGTCCAACAAGGACAGGCTAAAACTAGCTAAGGGCTAGGGTGAACCTGGCGTTGTGGGACAGTAATGAATGGAGTATTACAATGTGAAAGACTATTTTACTCATATAT